ACTGCTGTTTTGACAAGCAGTCCATACAAATTTGATTTGGAAGAAAAGCAAATTACAAAGACAATAAAAATGTTATAAAAAGAAAACCAAAAGTTATTAACAGAAATCAAAAGAACAAAAGAAAAAAAAAATACGAAAGGCAAAAAAAGACTACGTCCTGCCAAAGAAACTGATAAAAAAAAAATAAAGAAAAAAAAAAGCAATATTATGTGTTGGAGGATTGAACAATAAATATAACTAATCTTTACTACTTTACAAATGTAAGTAATAAATAAAACTGAGATTTCATTTTTTTTAAATAATTTTGAAAAGACCCCTTTTAAATTTTGTTGAGATAAATATTGTATTTATGTTTATTGCAATTATGAAAAGCGCTTTTTTTGTTTATTGTATTTTTTGATATTTTTTAAAATTAAACATATTATCTTTTTAATTTGCACAAGATTAATTGTGACTATGTAGAATGTAGTGTCAACTCTCAACTGTGGCAGAATTAGAGTTGAAACTACATTTTACCTCAGTTGAGTTTACTCAGACTGTCAAATTTTAATGTGAATAATGAACAGAAGATTATGTACCATCAATAAATTAGTTATAGTCAATTTTTGTTTAATAATCAGGTTTTATTCAAAAATTAAATAAGGCCATTTTAGGCTACCTCCAGGGTGAAACGGGCCCTAGCACCTCTTTGTTCAACGGTTATTTCCTAATGTAAGGCACAACCACACCTTTAATTTTTTGGTGTTAGATTGTAGAGCATAAATTGAATTTCCTGAAAAATACTTTATTTATAATTTTTGGAGGTTAAAGCTATGCTTAGAACATACAACTTGCTTGTAAGCAGTTATAAATGGTTGCTAAAGCTGAATGACTTTGTCAACTTGCTGATACTGCCTGACCATTAAAATTAATCGCTTCTGGCTATGTTTTTCACAAAAAAGAAAACATATAATTCTAAATTAATACAAAACTATCTTTTTAAATTTAAACTACTTTATTTTGAGTTTAGAAGTAATCAAGTTGTTTAAAACATTGATTACACTGATACACTAGAAGTTGGAAACGAAGTAGGAATGCTAAAATATTCTTTTGCCAGCATTACTAAGAGTGGATATTTGGAGCGATGATTTTGCCAAAACGATAAACAATCTTGTTCTTTATCTGTCGTAGGTGTATGAGTAATAAATTGCTCTATTTTGAAAGTGTAAATAATTTACGTAACTAATTTAAGCTTCAAGTAAATTTCAGTAATTTTTTAGTACTTCTTTTATTGATTTAATGATATAATTTATTAATTATACTATTGTATTTAATTATACAATTGTTTTTAATTATACTATTGTTTTTAATTATACTATTGTTTTTAATTATACTATTGTTTTTAATTATACTATTGTCTTTAATTATACTATTGTCTTTAATTGTACTATTGTTTTTAATTATACTATTGTGTTTAGAGATAAAATACCTTGAACTAAATCCAATTAGACCAATTTTATGTTTGAACTGTTCTCCAACAAACTTTCCTTTATTCCATCTCTTGTATATAAAATTTTTGTGGCTGGATGTAAAAAACAATATATTTTTACCGAAGTTGATAACATAAGTGTTTGTTTAATTTTTGTGAAGCTACATTCCTTTAGTTTTTTAATTTCATTCAAATCACGAATATTTATTTCAAAAAGCATTAGTATTAAGAGAGTTAACAGCACTGACCACAAGGGTTAACAACTCCAATGGTTTTAAAAGTTTAACTTATTGAGAAATCAAGGCTTGTTCTTAATCAAAAAATTTTTTTTCAATCATGTTTGAACTATCATAAAGTTGGAAACTGCTATTCTAAATTGTCAATATCTTTCACTTTAGCAAGAAATCGAAGTTTGTTGTACAATTTTATATCTGCTTGAGAATGATATTCCTCTAAAACTAAAGCTGACTTGAACTTCAACATAAGGTAACGGTAGCAGAACTGTAAAAAACTAAACAAAAAGATTGCAACTCACACCATTTTTTGATGAACTAGCAACAGAGTTATTGCACCATTTATGTAAAAATTGATTTTTTTTTTATAATTCAACACCCGGTTTGTCTGTTAATTTTTTGTAAAGCAAGAAAAAATCAATGTGGGAATCTTAACCTTGTCAATTTTTGATAAATGTCCTCAGCTAAAGACTCAAAGTTTTGTTTTTACTTTGTTTTATTAATCTCTTTTTTTTTTTCAGCCAAAAAGAACGACTTTAAAATTGAGTGCGGATGATTACATTGTTTGAATGGCGGCTTAGTAGTTACCAGTGTTACCACAGGCTGAGTTTAAACATAGGAAAGTACCAAAATATTTTTATATATATTAATTATTTATATTTGAAATAAGATTTTTTTGGCACGCTTCTACGAAAAAACTCAGCCAGCGGCAACGCTTGTAGTTATTAACAACGCAAAATTACGGCTGTAAAAATTAGGTTTAATTAACGGCGGTTTCTCGCTAATAGCGACGGCTTTAACCTCTAGCAATGACAGACTAAAAAACTAACCTTTTTTATAAATAATATTAATTACACAAAAAGAAATTTGAAACTTTTATTAGATAAAATTAAAACTTTTGCTTTATTACTACTATTATTGTTGAAAATTGGCCGTTCCTGGAAATGGCTAGGCTGCTTATTTGCCTAAAAGATGCGACGCTATGATCCGCTATCTTGCCTCAACAAAAAAATACTAATTAAAAAAATCGCAGCTTTTAAAAAAGCTAACTCCAACTTGCAGATCATCCATCCACTCTACACTCTTGACCAATCCTAAAGTCATTTACATTTCAACCATCCAAAAATGAGTCAGCCAATAAAATTATTATTATAAACGCTATTGAAAACAAACATATTACATTATAAATAACATAGAAAACAAATTTTACATTATAAAAACTACTCTGCTTTTTTCAAAGTTGTTGAATGCATTTAAGCCGCTAATTCTAACATAAACAACAAACCACCAAATACATCTACTTCTTCTACTGCTGCCACACTTACTCAACTAGCTCCATCGTCTCTTGTTATCAAATTTGTAACTAATGAAACTCGGAAAAGTTTTTTAACAATGACCAAAATTCTAGGATTTAATTATACGGCCAGATCGTACTCCTTCAAAGCGAGAGCTTTTCAACAAATTATTTAATAAAAGTACAAGCTTAATAACAACCTTAAAGCAAACGGTAAACCTGATTAGCCCTTCATTTTGTCATCCGCACCATCAGGATTAAATTTTTGACTTCATCGAAAAAATGTCAACGGCTTGGAAAAGCACCTATTTGTCAACTAGAAAGAAACGCTCGCAACAGCCGAATCCAACCAGGCAAAAGTTGCAACATCTAACACATAACTTTTTTGTTACAATTGATAACATGCCTTCATCGACTTCTTAAAACAATGTCACCAAACTTGTTTGACGCCTTCACCCCGTCCTTAGTTTGACAAATCCTCAGCACCTTTTAAACTTCAACATCATTAGAAGAAGTTATATATCAGTATAATTTTTTCTAGACAATATGGTGTATATGTCAAAAGCAGCATTAACGCCATCAAAATTGACCATCTATCAACAAGGCTTTAGCCAGTGACGAAGTAGTGAAAGCTATCTCCTATCTTTGGTCAACAAAAATATTAACGTTTTAATATTTTCCAGCGACGTCAATTTCCACTTAGTCAAATGATGTATCGACTAGATCAATCTAACCACTGGTGTCGAATTTAGTTTAGACCCTAAATTTAACGAAATCCTTTTCGAGCTACTTCTACACCAGCTAGTTTTCGGAAAACGTAACATTTCAAAAAAGGATCAAGACTTTATAGAGCAGACTACAGGCTGATCTCTATTACCTCTGTAGCATGCAAAATAATGGGAAAATGGTAGAAGAAAAGTTTAAGCAGCACCTTGTACCCTAAAACTTGTTACTCAATGAACGAGCACGACGCTAATGGCAAAGTCACCCAAACAGAAATGGAATCAACAATTTCCGAAAAAAAACTAAATTTTCATATATCCAACTATTTAAATCAAAATTGCCGCTGTCTAGACCAATCTTATTCTTGGAGTCTTAAAACACACTTTCATTAGCTTAGATAGAAAAAATGGAAAAAACTTCACACTACCTATATACGCCGATATCTCAAGTTTGTCTTTCTCAAAGCACTTTTAAACGAAGTTTTCAGTGCTATCGGTATCAACTGCCTAAAGAAAATTTTAATCTACTATCATTATAATTACCACAATGCATCCTTTTCCTTGCCATTACACTAGTTAGCTATCTTCCGTAACCCATCAATAATCATCGGCTAGGCTTACGAAACACGCCTATTTTGTGTAATTTAACCGCAAACTTTATTTTACTAAAATCAAGATTTGTTCCCTTATTTTTTTAGTCAGTAAGAGAAAATCTTATTAAACCTTTATTTGGTTTATTAAAACAACAGACAATCAGTTGTAGCATGACATGGAGTAAGTTCTAAACTTTTATATATTTATACTATATATTTCAAATAAAGATGCTTTGTAAAAAATTGCAACGATTGGAGTCTGGAAACAAACAAGTATTTAAAATTTGGCAACAACTACCTCAACCAAGAGTGCAATATGCTGATATTTATCAACAAATTTAAATATATATATATATATATATATATATATATATATATATATATATATATATATATATATATATATATATATATATATATATATATATATATATATATGTATATATATATATATATATATATATATATATATATATATATATATATATATATATATATATATATATATATATATATATATATATATATATATATATATATATATATATATATATGTATATATATATGGCCCTTAATGTGTGTGTGTTTGTGTGTGTGTGTGTGTGTGTGTGTGTGTGTGTGTGTGTGTGTGTGTGTGTGTGTGTGTATCTATAGTATATATGATAGAGGCAATGTAAAAACCATAAGCCAACATATGTGAAATTTTGAGTTTTGTTTGGTTTTTTTTATCTGAGTTTGAAATATGAACTAAAGCTTATAAAACTGTTGAGAGTTTTTAGACATTTATTTTTTAATTTTTATTTTCACAGCTGCTAAAAAAACTTTTTTCAAGTGCGCATTATTTACACACTTAACTGAGCGCGTAAGATTTTCGCACCATTTTATTTTCCATAACATTAAACTTGATATTAAAATGATATTTTGAATGATGATATTAAATTAATATTTTGAAAAATGTCATTTAAAACGTTTTATAAATTTCAAACTATGTTAACAAAATTTATCTTTCATTTTATTCTGTCGCCATTAAATCATCTGAAAGTTAAAAAAGAAAAAAACATAACATACATAAAGGATAGTTTTTCCTAAACGATTTCTTGTCTCCATCAAAAAATTAATAAATTATAATGAACTTTTATATAAAAAATACAAACAACAGAAAACAAAGCAAACAATTTTTTTCCTTCTTCTACTCATTTAATGTGGTGCGCTGTCTATATTTACTGATGTTTTTAAATTAGATGTTGTTTTTTTCTCAAAAAAAAAGTGGTCGAAGAATTGAGACAAAATATATTGTCTTGCTTGAACTAGCTTAACTTGTTTTAAACGGCTGTTCTTGCGTTATAGACAAAGAATATATATTTCTAAACCTAATCTCACTTTTTTTCTTTGGAACTCTCCAAATAACTTTTTTTTTAAGTTTTGAATAAAACTCTTTGTGATTAAAGCAGTATATGAAAGGAGCAGCAATAGCGTCAAAAAAATTGATATACTTAACACAAAATGAAACCAGCGTTCCAATATTTGATTGATAATAGTTTTTATCAAAAATATTTGGCGCTATTTCTAAATGCTGTATGAGCAAATAAATAATTGTTGGTGCCCAGGTAATCGCGTAACACAAAACCAATCCCAAAACTATACGAGTCGTTTTTGGAACTTTGAATAAGTTTTTTGCTTGGCTACTACTTTTGCTATTGGATTCGGCTAAAAAAGTACTCATTTTATTTAATTTTCGTCTGACCAGCGCATAGGTAGATACAATAAAAATGTAAGCAATCAAAGTATTAACAACTAGCATTGAAATGGACCAATACTGTGGCTGATTGTAATTGCACTGAGTAGTCAGTAGAACTGTTTTTGCTTTTTTCATAGGAATAAATGGAATGAGACAAAGTCCCACGACATATAACCAACAAAGTATAATTAACTTTATAACACGAACTCTTGTAACTGTAGTCTGGTAGTTTGATAACATTTTGATAGCGAGCAGTCTATCAGTTGCTAATAAAACCACGCTAATACAAGAACCGTAGAATGTGAGCATATAGGTAAAGCGATATGTATCGCAAAGCCATCCATTTTCACCGTAAACTTGAAATACAGCGTACAAAGGCAATACTATTACTCCTTGCGACAAGTGTATTGTTATAAGGTTTGCAATTAAGAGGGTCGGTGGGTTTCTAAGAAGACATTTGGAAGTTGAAATAACGTAAATACACAAACTATTGATGATTACTATGCAGATACTTAATAATGTCAAAAAAATCACAAAGATAACATTCTGATTCATTTCTTTCAACAAGTTATTTTTTTTTTAATTTTATGACAATATTGTTTGCGATGAATCAATATTTTGTTTTATGGTTTTATATTTTGGTTTGTTTACTTTAAACATCCTGTTGCTATTTATTTACCCTGTAAATACAGAGTCGTCCAGAATTTATCAATATTTAATAGAAATTTGTTAAAAGTTATTAATTAAAACTATACAATTTTTTTAGATCTACTTTTCAAACCTTTTGATGTATACGTTTATTAGAACGTTGATTAAACGCTTTGAATATTGATTAACCATGGCGGTAGACAAGTGGGGGGCTTGGAGGGCCTTTGATTTAATATATTTATAAACAATTTTACAACATTTATAAAAAATTTTGTTTTATAAATATGTTAAGAAAAATATTTTGCATTTAAACTAAAAATAAAAATACCCCAAATAATTGTAAACGATTCCAACCGATTCTATGTTTGCTTTTCTAAAAAATAAAAGTTCCCCATAATAATTCTCCATACAGACTTTCCATAAACAACTTTGTCGTACGAAAATCTTATTCAAAACTGAGTTTTTTATTCAATT